GTAGATGGGAAGTTCACGTATTGCTGTCGCCAATGTTTGGAGGGATGTAACTAGTCATTAAAAAAAAAACAACAGATTGTTATTTGATAAACTGAGGGATTATTTTTTTTTATATTTTTCTTTAATTTTGACATTTCTTTGAGCACTTGTCTGAAATCGACGTCAACCATCTTGGGATAAACCTCTGCAGCAAGGTCACCGTCATTGAAAAAGTTAAGGAACCCCTGGGCCAAGGATACACGATCTCCCCCGCGTAGGGTACTGGTTTCGACGCGCGAGTCTCCACGGAATCACGCGACAGAGCCCCGCCCACGGTATTTACTCCGGAGTGACGTGGATCTCACCAGGCGCTTGGAACTTTCAACAAATATTCCAGCAACTCGTTAAAGACGTCTACAATTATGTCGCATAGTTGACTGTTTTTTTTTTTATCTGGGGGGAAAAAAATCCCACTTCAAGTTCCTTGCCAAAAAGTTCTAAGCCTCTACTACTTCTAAGACTCTACTACTTCTAAGACTCTACTACTTCTAAGACTCTACTACTTCTAAGCCTCTTCTACTTCTAAGACTCTACTACTTCTAAGACTCTACTACTTCTAAGCCTCTTCTACTTCTAAGACTCTACTACTTCTAAGCCTCTACTACTTCTTGTTTTGTAACACTATTTATTTTGGGCAGGCGTAAAAAAAAAAAAAATGAGAACATTTTTTTGCGACTGAGGCAAACTTGAAAATTGTTGGAGAACGCTTACTTGACTACGATACCAATACTGAATCTGCACTGTTTGTTGTTGTTTTTTGTGTGTGTGTGTGAGTGTCTAGGTTCCACTTCCAAGTTTGTTGTGTGAGTGTCTAGGTTCCACTTCCAAGTTTGTTGTGTGAGAGCAACACGCCATTTTGTCTGTCATTGGAGATTTGAACATTTACGACCACCAATGTTACTTTGGCTCAAGTAATTTACTTCTGACTTCCGGGTTACTTTGGCTCAAGCAATTCATATGACCTTCAGGGGAAAGGTAAGTGTTTAGGTTGAGCAACAGATATTTAAAAAACAATCTTTGATGAGGGTCTGATTAGCATATCAAATAAATAGAAGTGACATTCATTATTAGTAACATATCAAATAAATAGAAGTGACATTCAGTCTTAGTAACACATCAAATAAATAGAAGTGACATTCAGTCTTAGTGACATATCAAATAAATAGAAGTGACATTCAGTGTTAGTAACATATCAAATAAATAGAAGTGACGTTCAGTATTAGTAACATATCAATAAATAGAAGTGACATTCAGTCTTAGTGACATATCAAATAATGAAAAGGCCACCCCCATTCTTAGTGACATATTAAATATTTTGCCATACATATATGCATATTTTCCAGCTTTTTTTTAATAGTTTGGTGGTTTTTATTTCAAAATTTATCTTTTGTTGAATCTGTCTGGTTGGACGGATAATCTTGTGTGTTTTTTTTAAATTATGCGGAACGGTGGTTGCATAGATTTGTTGGATATCGCTGGCATAATCCAAGACATAATCCATGTCCGCCATATTGGAAAAGGACGCGCCAAGATGTAAACTAACGACACGATCAAGACAAACATCTCAAGACGAACATCTCTAGACGAACATCTCAAGACGAACATCTCAAGACAAACATCTCAAGACAAACATCTCAAGACAAACATATCAAGGCAAACATATCAAGGCAAACATCTCAAGACAAACATCTCAAGACAAACATCTCAAGACAAACATCTCAAGACAAACATCTCCAAACAAACATCTCAAGACAAACATCTCAAGACAAACATCTCAAGACACACATCTCAAGACAAACATCTCAAGACAAACATCTCAAGACAAACATCTCAAGACAAACATCTCAAGACACACATCTCAAGACAAACATCTCAAGACAAACATCTCAAGACAAATAGAATACAGACAAAAGGACAATCCTTGACCTTGGCGAATAAAAAAAACCTGAAAACTCTATTCAAAAAGAAAGTCAAGACTCTGTTCGTAGTTACCACTCCCACTCACAAACGCAACAGTTACTCGAAGAAATTCTTGCCACAGACTCATTTTAAGGTACAGCGGAAAAAACCCTTAAAAAATGACTTTCAAGGCTATAAGTTAACAATGAGTGTTCATAGAAGCATCATACTCTGTGTAACACTGCGTTCTTCACCGTACGTGTGTGCACTGTCCGCTATCATAATATGTAACACTGCTTTCTTCACTGAAGCAATGACAAGTGGTCTTAAAATTTGATCTTGAACACATTTTTTGTCTACACCAACTATCCTCTATTTATTTATTTATTTATTCAGGCATTTTTATATAGCGCTTACCATAAAGCTCTAAGCGCTTTACAATTATTAAAAACATGTAAACTAAGTAAAATAAAAATGAGACACTAGGATAGTAACTACTATACTATAGAAACAATGAAAATGGCTATAAAACGAGGACACTTTGACACGTTTTGGCCTATACTTCAGGATCAACCCGAAACAGAAAATGAGGTAGGGCAAGGAGGGTGCATCACAGGTCATAGGCCGACCTAAACAGATGAGTTTTAAGGGACTTTTTGAAAATGGACGAGGTTTTACAATGACGGATATGGAAGGGGAGCTCTATCACTTGGACTTGTTGGGCAACAACCATCGTTACAGTTGCTGTTAACATTTACTACCTCTATTACGGGGACTTGATGGACTGCAACCATCATTGATGAGGAAGGTAATGTTGACATGTTCCTGAATGGATTTCAACGTTTTTTTTTTATATTTCTGTCGTACATTTGTAACAAGAAGGTTCCCAACTTTTACATGTCCCATATGACACAATTTAAGAGATCGTCGGCATCAACTAACTCGCCACAAACCGATAGCACCCACGTCAGAGGGTCTCCAGTTAGAAGAGCCGGCCCTTCATATGTCACAGGGTGTCCAGTTGGAAGAGCCGGCCTTTCATATGTCACAGGGTGTCCAGTTGGAAGAGCCGGCCCTTCAGAAGTCACATGGTATCCAGTTCAAAGAGCCGATGCTTCACAATCAACCGATAATGAATCTGATCTAACAAAACTTGGTGAATAGACCCAACTGGAAAAGAGCTCCTATTCTGGCTCCTTATTCTGGCTCCTATTCTAGCTCCTATTCTAGCTCCTATTCTGGCTCCTTATTCTGGCTCCTATTCTAGCTCCTATTCTAGCTCCTATTCTGGCTCCTTATTCTGGCTCCTATTCTAGCTCCTATTCTAGCTCCTATTCTGGCTCCAGATGACAACCACCCAAAACCAAATCGGCTACAAAATTTAGGAATGTTATGAATACCGTAGAATTATTCGACGAAAGTCTTGCTACAAAAAAATTTAAATGAACAACGAAAAGTTCAAAACAAAGATTTTTTAAGATCAAAAAATAAAATGTGTACTATGAAAGAAGAAAAAAACCAAACAAATTTTCATTTTTTTCGGATCAATAAAATATCTTATCTTATTCTAAAAATAAAGGCGACTTTAAAAATTGCCCAAAGTTAACAATATAAAATTAAATCCCCAAAATATTTAGACCTTTCATTCTACAAATGTTTGATGCTTACTGAATATCTTATTAAACGTGTTTGTCAGATGAATTTGTCCCTCTGCCGTTGCAGACAACAGGCTTAAGGCACTATGTCAAAAAAAAAAAATATTTTTTTTTAAATGAAGGGAAAAAAACACTGCTAAACGTATCTAGATATGTGTGTAATTTTTTCAAACTGTTACAAACCTCTTCTTACTTAATAGGTTCGTTGGCTTCGTTGTCTAGGGGCGCTTAAATAACATATACTTCACCAACCATTATTGTCATTTTAGATATCTTTATTACATAAATAAGTTACAGCTTCAACTGCCATTTCTCGCAACAACCCCAACACCACAACTACTCTACGCCATATCCTTTTCCACACAATACGTCACAAGATACCAAGAATAATGGATAAAACAACGCACATAATCTCAAACCAACACGCAATCACACTATACACTCAAGTCCCAAACACAAACATGTATCCTTATAGAGGCTGGTCTATTGACCACAGTCCACACCCACACTAAGCGTTCCCAGTGCGGATGGACATAAAAAGAAATCCCCCGGAGTGCACTCTTTTGAATCCATAGCGCCCAAGTTATTGAACAGTTTGTCTCAGTCTTTGAGCGAATTAAAAATGATTTTAAAAAAAACAACTCACATTTAAGAGACAATTTAAGACGTATTTCTTTAACTAACGTTTATGACTTAAGAGAGCTTTGAGCCTGCGAGACCGGCACCATGGACACAAGCGCAATACAAGAAATCAAATTGCAAAAATAAATAAATAATAATAATAATAAATAAATAAATAATAACAATGAATAATGATAATACTAATTAATAAAATATATATATTTTTTTAAAAATTGTTATCGTTACTTTCGATTCTACCTTCATATGAGGCTTCATAGAACTAACATTTTCTTATTTTGATATCTCTTTTAACAAAATTATTTAAACTATTTATTTCATCCATTTTATCTTTAGTTGTAAGTTCATCCAATCACAACGTCTTGATTTTTAACGACAGGACCACCGGCTGACGATGAATTCTACTCGCCTCTTGAAATATTTATTTATAAGCTTAGACGTCACGTTCTTATACAAAACTTGGATTCGAACAATGGCTGTCACGGACTACGTCGCAGTTGCTTTTGGAATTTTACCAAACTTGTTGATGCTGCTCGCCATTCTGACGTCAACGGACATACGCGCGTGCATACGCAACAAAAGAATCTGCAGCTTTTTGCGTCCTTCCCCTTCTGAACTGCCTGCTGGTCATGCCAATTGACAATAGAGGTGGCACGTTTAAGCAGGCTCGGTGAGCGAATCGGTTGTCACCTCAGAGAAATCATCCTTCACGTCAACCGCTTGCAGGATTTCATCTCCAACTGGACGTAGGTGCTGCTGGTCGTAGTTTTCATCACCCGAATTTGCGACAACAAGCCGTGCACGAGATGTACACGTTTAATGACCTCCCTTGGAACGTACGCCATCTTGGTCTTACCGTGGGCGGCGTCAATTATCACCATTCCCATAGTTACGAGCACGACAATGAGTCCCGTGCTTAGTTGGAGAAACATATCCTTTGCGCATTAGTGTATGTTCAAAGCCTCCAACACTGATCTGGTGATCAAATCCTTAGACACGGCTGTGCCCCTGTTGACTGCTGCAGCCGTCCTGGTGGCGGCCGTGGTGTTACGAGAGGATTCTTCAGTGGCATGCAGGTGGAGCTTGTGGATCGCGGACCGGAAATTGACGACCATTTCGGATACACGGCAGATGTTGTCGTGTCTGCCATCTGTGACGCACCCGTTGTCTTTATGGCTTTCGATCTCCTGGAGATCAATCACATCTCAAGGTAAGCTAACCGTACGTATGTGCAAACTTGTCATACACAGACTATGAACAATTTTTTTTTAAATTACATAGGCTTAATCTAATCTGTCCCCACTAAGCACACACCTAGTCTAACATGTCACACATTATACACACTTAGTCTAATCTGTAAAACATAACACACACCTTGTCTAATCTGTCACAAATCACAATACATTGTCGTATCTGTCACACATGGCACACACTTAGTCTAATCAGTCACAGCTACTTTAATCTGTCATGCGTATAGAAGCTATAAAGGGAAACAACTGCATTCATCATGTCTATAAAACGACAAGAGGGACACCACTTTTCTTCACGACATTCCTTCTCTGAATCGTCGCACTCGGAAATACATACAAATTATATCTTTAAAATAACGTGGGGTCTCCTTAAATACTGCCTTCATTATCTTAAACCCCCTTTCTCTCCCCCCCCCCTCCCCCCAGATGGATCTACAGTACGGTGGCTTACATCATGTCCCAGACTAAAGTCGTCTTGATCGCGCTGCCCTGGCTTCTCTTCCCGGACATCAGAGAGCGCTTCAAGACTGGCGGCCACGGGACTGTGCCAAACCTGGCATTGACCTGACGCCTGGCTTAGAAAACGTCAAATCTTAGACTGTCGAATCATGTCGACTTTCGGCTTTTTTTAAACTATGTTTTCCCAGTTCGACTGCGACCGTCCCATATTGGCAGCCCGCGTCCACACGTCACGGCCGTTCGGGTATTCTGTCCGGGCTTGAATCACAACTTTTACAATGATAAGTAATTAATTTGTCACGCCAAAGTGAAATATTCTCGTTATAAGTTCATAACCAGAACTAGGCTTTACGGGTGGTAACAGAGCCATGTTCAATGTAACTAAAATCCTAAGAGTAAAGACAGTGTCCATCTCGAATTACGCAATGTGCGTTTCCTTTTGCGAAAACGTTAACATGTAATTTAGTGGGTGATGTGAGGACCCCGCCCACAACCTATGACCCCCCACAAGCTATGACCCCCAATAACCTATGACCCCCACAGCCCATTACCCCACAATTGATGACCCCCCACAACTATGACCCCCACAGCATATGACACGGCAACCTATGACCCCCACAATCAATGACCCCCACTACCTATGACCCCCCAAAACTTATGACCCACCACAACAAATGACCACACAACCTATGATCCCCACAACCTATGACCCCTACAACCTATGACCCTCACAACCTATGACACCCCCCCAACCTATTTCCCCCCTACGTTGCCTCAGATGAGAAAATGTACATACTAGAGATTACATTCAGTATTTTCCCAAAACAATAATATGAGGAGCGGCTTAGCAAATCCTGCTATATCACTTTTAAAAAAAATGAGTTCACTATTTTGGCTGGTTTATTAAGTGTCATTCTCTTGTATTTTATGTATTTAATGAATTCAAAAAGTTCATATATAAAATGTCACCTTGACAAAAATGTTCATGCTATATTCGCTATATAAATTTAATCTACACAAAACAGCTTTTTTTCTCAAAATCAACCAGAGGTTACTTAGCACGTTTGTGCTGTTGGCCTCCTCATATTTCCCCCTAGTGTTAATATTTTCGGTGATCCAGGAGAAAACCGACACAGACCTCTAAAGAAAATATATTCAAGCCAGAAATATGAAGGCATAGATCGTCTTTATTTATTTATTTATTTAGACATTTTTATATAGCGCTTATCATAAAGCTCTAAGCGCTTTACAATTATTAAAACATGTAAACTAAGTAAATACAAATGAGACACTAGGATAGTAACACACACACACACACACGATATTTGGCTTTGAGATTTTGCAGGAATATCTTTTGCATATCTTGCTAAATGTTCTCCTCTCCTCCTCCCCCCCCCCCCGGATGAGAGGGAACTCCCACATTTTTTTTCTTTTTAAAAACCA